AAATGTTGCTAATAGAAGATCCCCAGTAGATAGCTGTACATAGAAATCCTAAGTCAAGTAAGATGACCAAGGATGATGATAAAAGTCTAAGAGTTATCAGATAGTATTAAGCCAGGGAACAAAGCAAAAGACAGTCAACTGAGTATCATCATTTAGGAGACTTTCAACATTCAAGGGTCCAAGTCACAAAGGACAAGCACTGAAGACTAGAACAAGGAAGAGCAGCCCATGCTACATGATGAAAACAAAGTACAGGTGCCTTTTAACAAATATACAGCATCATCCATTGGAAGGAACTTTAAGTGGCAACTATTAAATTTTGGAATATATTCCTCTTTATCACAATGGATTAAACATGCCTAAATTAGTTTACATGATTGCTATAATATCCTAACCCACTTAACATGATCATCTTTCTAATAAGAGTTCAAGTCTAATGGGGAATACAGTATTAAAATTTGGCAGGTTTTCATGGATAGACCTTAATATGATTGTATATGGGGAAAACGCAAACTAATTATGAAAATTTCCAACCCGAATAAGTTGCTTTTTAATTAAGTGCATGTCCCCAGTGATGGAAAAGATAAGGACAAAAGCTTTATTATAACTGAGTGTTCAGAAATGATAACATAAAGATGGCATGGGCTGGTTATATGGAGCAAGCTAATTTCAATCTTGTTCTGCATAAATAGCCAATCAATCTTGTGTGACATATCTCTCCAGGAAGAAAAATGCTTAGAGTAAGGAACTGTTCTCTAGAAATAGTTTGTAAAACAGAGCTATTTATCCTTCAAGCACCCAAGTTACCTGCCATCTGCAGGCGTTCGAGATCATGAAACTGTATGGAAAGATTGACGAATACTTTATTATTATCAGGCAGATTCTTGAGACAAAACACCAACAGAATTTTATTGTTCAGAATCTGTCTTCCTGAATTTATCTTAGATGTATGAAATTGGACTGGAAATGGCTATATTACCAGTAATACAATCCTAAATATTGTTTTTTTCTTTCCTAGAATTCCAAATTGTTAAAGTGGTAAGTTAGATTATTGATTAGGGAATCTTAGCATTAAGACTTGCATTTTTTTCTTTTGATTTTTTCTTAGCAAAACAGATGGCTGGAAATGGTCAGCATTTAATTGCAATGATTTATTTTTCATCTATCTTTTTCTGATTATAACATATCCCAATTTTTACAGTGTAAGACTCTCTTTGCCCTTAATATTCAGGATAACAATGATCAGAGATATGAAACATATTCTTTGTAAAACAATAGCCTACTTTCCTATCAAACCAATTTAATTTTCTTTGGCTAATGATTGCAACATATTTCTTTCTTTCTTTTTTTTTGGGTCAGGTCGTGGGGCCTGAACTCTGGGCCTGAGCACTGTCCCTCAGCTCTTCAGCTCAAAGCTAGCACTCTACCACTTGAGCCACAGCGCCACTTCCAGATTTTTTCTTTTTGCTTATGTGGTGCTAAGGAATCGAACCCAGGGCCTCAGGTATGCAACGCAAGCACTCTACCACTGAGCCACCTTCCCAGCCCGCAACATATTTCTTATAATTTATGTTTATTCTTTAAAATAACCTGAAATCCTTAGTAAACCAATTCTTTATCCACTACCACCTGATATGAAGTTACTAATATACAAACTATAATTTAAATATACTTTCTTAGAGACAGGAGAAGCCCAGAGTATACTTACTAACACTTGGCTCATCTTATAAAGCAAACCTTTAAGCTGAATTCATCCCATGGTCTGATATGATAATACTCTGATTGTCATACTTGCTCATTTTCTAACTTACAGTCTATGGCTGTTTTTGCACTGGAGTTGAATAGTTATGACAGAGACCATATGGCTCTCAATCTCTCAAATATTTATTTTCTGGCTCCTTCCAGAAAAATGTTTATCAACCCTTGCTTTAAAGCACAAGTTACCAATGTCAATAGCTTTGTGAATACACACAGCTGGGGTGTGTCCCATGCACATTCTGTTCCAACAATTAGGCTGTAGCCTCCAAGAATCGGTAATATTTGTCACATATTTTTACAATTACAATTTAATCAACTATTAAAAGAAATGACATAAAAAGTGTGAAAGGAATTGTAGGAAAGATGTAAAGTGTAAACTAAAATTGCTATCAAGGAAGGTAAAGGTGTAACAACTCAGTGAAATTGTGAAAGCATTGTAAATATCCAAAATATCTTGTCTTCTCTATGTAGGAATTTAAAACTAGAAATTATATGAGTTAGTGATTTATATAAAGGGATAGAAATAATAGCACACATTGGATATGATTTATGTAAAGGAAGATTATTCAGAATCTATAGAAAAAGATACACCAAGTCAAGCACGTTGTCTCACACCTATAATCCCAGTTACTCAGGAAGCTGAGATTTGAGGATCATGGTTCAAAGCTTGTCTGGGCAGTAAATATTCTTATCTCCAACTTAACACCCAAACATCACAAAATGGAGCTATGGCTCAAGTGGTAGCGTACCATCCTTGAGAAAAATCTAAGGGACAATGCACAGGCCCTGAATTCAAGCCCCAGTACAGTACTCCCCAACCCCAAAACCATCTATATTCTATAGAAAACATATAGAACACGTGTAATATTAGTGTTTATGATGTTTATCATAGCAAATTTGCTAGAAAAGTGACAGATATTGACCCAAGCAGAAGCTGGGGACACTGGAGGTTTATATAAAAATGTCTTAATGAATGTTCTGACTCTATAATGCTTTAAATCCATCAAGATGAATTTGCTGCCCTTTGTGTCTTTTCTTCTTATACAAAATGCAATGCATTAGAGACATTGTCTTGACTTTCTCCATTTCTTCTCCATATTATTGCATAGAGCAACATAAGATGTATTTTGTTAAATAAACTCACAAAGCATGAAGGATTCCAGATACCTCTGCATAATAACCAACCTGTTTCTTTTTCACTAGGAAGGGTCAAGTTTAATGGTTCTTAGGATCACCACTATATATGCAAATTGGATTCCTACAAAATAAGCAGCCTTTTTAGAGTGTACATATGCACACTCATTATCTTAAAAGTGAATCAGGGAACAGAAAAAATATTTTCACTGAGAGACTTTGCATTTCAATTGACAGAAAACCAATTTCATGTCACTGCTTTCAGAATTCATGTTGAAGTTATATACAATTTGAGAATCATTCATACTTTAAATGTAAAGATGATCTCTTAGAAGTCTAACTTAAAAAAATCCCTGAAAATCACTCAGCCTATTATTTAACTATTACCTATGGATGTCAAAGTTAATTAGACCTGGAAGTAAAGAACATTTGAGTTTGAATGTACCACATATTAGTATTGTAATGATAGACAAGCTACTATTGTCGTTGTATTGTTTTCTATCTAGAACATGAAAAAGGAAATATTCTCTTAAAGGACGTGAGGACAAGATGAGATTACACTTGGAAATTTGCCTATATAGAAAGATGTCCTTGGGCTGGGAAGGTAGCTCAGTGGTAGAGTGCTTGCCTTGCATGCATGAGGCCCTGGGTTTGATTCCTCAGCACCACATAAACAGAAAAAGCCAGACGTGATGCTGTGGCTCAAGTGATAGAGCACTAGCCTTGAGCCGAAGAGCTGAGGAACAGCACTCAGGCCCAGAGTGCAGGCCCCCACGACTGACAAAAAAAAAATGGAAAGAGGTCCTAACACATTCTGGGCAATGATGGTGGCTCTCATGATGCTGAGTCTTCTACCCTGTCCTTTCCAAGAACTTTCAAGCTGCTCCTTTATGTCTTCCTACAGATTCCCAGTAGACATCTCAACCTTAATATAACCAACAATATAAAAACAAGTCTATAATCTACTGTGTAATTAAAATGACACCTATGATAGGTCATAAAACAATTTAATAGTATCATAAAACTATTGGGTACAATCTATACAAGGCAGTTTATATTATTATATACCAGGTAGGTCTAAACCTCAATCATTCTGTGCTTTCCTTAGGGTTCTTGCCAGTTCTTACTGTTTATATGCAGGTTTTAGGATCTAGCAGGCAGGGCTTTGTCTGGTTTATCTTAGCAGGATACCTAGTTGGGTCTATCTTTTTTATTTTCTGAATGAAAGAGAATGAAAGCTGGAGGGTAATGGCAGCAAACCCTCTGTAAATGTAATTGTGGATGTATATTTGGAAAGTTCTAAGTACTGTTTTTAAATATGATATCCTAGAGGAGAAAACTAGACTGAAGGTGGGTTATATGCACTCTTTATTGCTTCACAGTACTTAAAACCATAGTAAAGCAATCATTTGTATAGTCATTTGCTTAATATCTGTCAGCTCTACTTCAAATTCTATAGTGTAAGGACAATATGTGGTCTCTTACGGTCTCCGCAGCCCACAAAGGGAACACACACACACACACACACACACACACACACACACACACACACCAGTAATTATATATGTATATATTATATATGTATATACACGTATGTGTATATATACAGATGTATAAAATTTTTTCACTGCTGGGATTCAGACTCAGGGCCTCATAAATTCTAGGGCAAGTGCTCTACCATTGGGTTCTACTCCCAGCCCCACTAAAAACATTTTGAATCAGTGAACAAAATCAGGACTGTGTAGAAGCATGATTTGCGAACATGCGCCCTTCCTCACTCAGAGCTTTACAGAATCTAATAATTAGTTTTCACTAGCTTTACAATATGTGCCTTCTCAAGTAAGCATCATGAATAGTTGAAGGGCAAGTATGTTTTTCTTTGTGAGTATTATGCAAAGTAGCATTATTTGAATTAATGATGATGGAACATATCTCAAGTGGTAGAGTACCAGCCATGAGCAAGAGTGAGAGGCCTTGAATTCAAGACCCAGTTCTGGTACAAAACACCCCCAACAGCCCATAAGTAAATGATGGCATTTCCAATTAATAACTACAGTTGAAGTTAATTATATCTAAGCATGGAAAATATGAAAATGTCCAGTACTTACATCTATCAAATCAGAAAGATCATGGATATAATACTTGAATACTGAGGCATTGGTTGCTTCCAGCGTTAGGAGATATTCATTGCGTGCTTTAATTGATTTTAACTTATTTTCCGAATATTTTGCTTGTCTCTGGAAAAAAAAAAAGAGCAAAGCCATTTTAAAAACAAGCCAGAGAAACATATATCCATTTTTTAGTAATCCAAGCAACTTCACATACACAAGTGACCCTCAAAATCCATTGGGAAGAGTATATTTTTAATATGATTTAAATAATGAAGTAAAATAACCAAGCTATGAGGAGTAATGATGAATTTGGGCCTGAGATCCATGTATAATGAACTCTCTCAGTAAATATTCAAGCTCTTATGATAATACTGGACACTTAACACACATACACACACCCCCATCCACTAATATCCAGCTATTACTAGATGATCCTCACATGCCCTCAAACCAGGGGATAATCATTCATGATGGTGGATGTCAGCTAGGGCACAGTGTTTTTTCTGTTTGTTTTTGCCAATACTGACATCCTAGCTGCTGTCCCTGAGCTTCTGTTTTGCTCAAAGCCAGCGGTCTACCACTTGAACCACCACTTCTGGCTTTTCTGTGGTTACTTGAAGACTCATGGATTTTCCTGCCTGGCCTGGCTTCAAACCTTGACAGACCTCAGCCTCCAGAGCAGCTAGGTGGCGAGCCAGGTGCCCTGTGGCATCAGTGTTTAGAGTGTTTTCTATATCTGGTCTCCTCAACAAAGGTCAGAAGGGCTTTGCTGTGCATTGTCGCCTACCTTTTCTTTCATTTTCTCAATTTTCTTTACAGAGCTTCGCCGCTGATGTCTCTCTTCGAGTCGGATATGGAAGACAGGATCACCAGATCTTCCGATTTGCTTTTCCTCTTGCTTCTCAGCCTCCTTCAGTTTGCTCTCAGCACTCATGCTCTCAGCGTGGTACATGTGATACGTTTTCATCACCTGAGGATGAGGGATGCACACCATTAAAAGATGTCTGCCCATGACTTAACAGAGTGAATGAGGATCACTGAATGACAGAAGTGTCAAACATATCACCTTCCAACTGTCAGGTAAAGCCAGATCATTAGTAAAATAGATGAATTATGGCCTCCTGCTTCTACCTAAACCAAACAGCTAAGCAAATTCACCTGCCAGGGAGCAGCACTTTGGGGATAGGTTTTGATGGAAAAAATGACTTACAGAGTCTGATGTACATTTTCAATGTACTTGAAAAGTTCTCTTCAGCTTAAAAGTATTTCTCTGAAATCTCTACTGCATTATTAATTGGCAGGATAAACTATTTATTCACGGATGTGTTTTAGCCCAACCAAAATTTTAAATAAAACTCAGGTCTTTACTAAGGGAAATTTATTGCTCAAAATCCACTAGTCAAAATATAAAAAGTTTTAGTTTAAAAATATTATTATTGACTACAAAGTAATACTTAAGTTTCAGTATAGAAAACATGGCATACAAAAAAAAAGGAAATAAAATAAAAAGGACAAGATAACTAAACCTTTTTGGCATATAACCTCCCAGTCATTTTCTTATGAAAAAGCACACACATATTCACATACAAGCTCAATTACATACTTCATTTAAGATTATCATATACAATCTTTGCCTTTAAATGTGTGGGATCATTATGTATGCAGAATTTCAATATCATTTTTCACATAATACACTCCTATTTCACTAAATATTCTTCTAAAATGTAATTTTAAGGAATGTATGACATTTCTTTATATGACTATGCCAATTAATTAATTCTTTGTTGTTGAGCAGTTTAAGATCATTTCAACCTTATGCTTTAAAGAGTTGCTGGAAAACTTTCATGTATATTCTATTCTCTTGAAACAGTACATTTAATTTGCATTTTGGCAAAATTTAGGAATATTTACATAAAACATACAATTTTTATAATGTATCTCTTTCATATATATGGAAACTATAAATACTCAATTTTTTTGGTAATTATTGTTACAAAAGTACTAAGCCACACAATTATGTCATCTTTTCTAGGATAAATTTTAGAAGTAGAATCATACAGTTAGAAATTAGGCAAGAGCTGGAATGTGACTTAGTGGTAGAGTGCTTGCCTAGCATGCATGAAACCCTGGGTTCACTTCCTCAGTACCACATACATAGAAAAAGCCAGAAGTGGTGCTGTGGCTCAAGTGGTAGAGTGTTAGCCTTGAGCAAAAGAAGCTCAGCGACAGTGCCCAGGTCCTGAGTTCAAGCCCCAAGACTGGCAAAAAAAAAAAAAAAAAAAGAAAAGGCAAATACATTGACAATTTTATACTCTGCTAAATTATAAAACAAAGCAACTAAAGTGATTTGTAACATTATATCTCAATTCGGACAACCTAGAGGTCTAGTAAATATTTTCTCACATAATAAGTAAAGGTATTCATAATATCTATGTATAATCTCTGTACTCTTAACACACAGAAGATTAATAGTCATATCTTTTTAGAGGTTTTTATCTGAAAAAATGACAGCTTCCCAATGTAATTTTAATGTTCTGTTACATTCAGAATCAGACATCCTGGTAAGTATTTACGTCTGTGTATATTTTGCACAAAATTCTACTCCTTAGAGACACAACAGACATAGGTGTGACTTTCAGTGCAATGGGGGCATGGAGGAACATAGCAGCTCTGAGTGTCCACAATCAGTATTATAAGTCAAATTCACCTTCCCAGGAGACATACTACTCACAAAAAATATTTAGATTTAATTTTATAACCAAGGTAGAGTTACTAAGGAGTTGAGATTCATGTAGCACTTATATATTATATACTAGAACTCATATAAGTTTTAAAAGAGATTGAGACCTGGAAGGCCCACGGGGATGAACGTGTTTAACCATGTAAGACGGCTGGTCTGTTCACTGCAACCTCATTTTTTGGTGGTACTGGGTTTTGAACTCAGGGACCTGATTATTTTTAGGATAAGGTATCACTTCCCAACCTGCTGTGAACCTGAACTCAATCTGCCTACGTTTAGGCTTTCCATTTTCCTGTGGAATAACAAACACATGCTACCAAGTCCAGTGTTGCTTCCATGGAGATGGGAGTCACAGGAACTATTTGGCCCAGGATGGTTTGGAACTGCAGTCCTCCCAATCTCAGTCTCTCATGTATGCCACTATACCAGCTATGGATTTGAAAAGTGTCTTGTGCATTTTTTTTTTTACCCTGGCTAGTCTCAAACTGTGCTCCTCCCATTCCCAGCCTCCCAAGTAGCTAGGGAGGTAAGGTGTGAACCAATGCTGATTGGCTAGCAACACTCATTTTTAAGGTAACTGGAAAATATAGTGTTTCAAAAGTATGCGGGGGCGGGAATCATGCAGAAGAGGGATGAAGGGAGAAAAGGAGGAGTGCAGTTATGAAATTCAATGCATATTCTACAAAATTAAGAAAACTGAGGAAAGAGAAAGAGATGGGGTTGGGAAGGAAGAGAGTGACGAAAGGGCTGACATTGCTCAAGAATAATTGAATCTCTATATTGCTTTGTTGAATGGCAACTCCTCTGTACAACTACTTAACAATAAAAATAAAATTTAAGAAAGCATGGTATGAAGGTCTTTGTTTTCATAAAATCTGATGGCCTTCCTGAAAAGAATGCAAAGAGCAAGAACAAAGTAAGAGCTAAACTGAGGCAGCCTTTTCTGAGCTATGTGCCTTTGGAAAGCCATCTGTTTTTGGTAATGATTGAACCTGGGGGATGTTGCGTTGTCCATTCCAGTTGAAAAGAGAAATAAAACAGCATTAGGAAGCAGCTGGCAGCTGCGGAATGAAAAGGGAGTCACCCTGCAGCTGGGCAAACAGCAAGGTCAGGGAATCCTGTGCACACCTTGCATTTTTAGACTCTGTTCTGTTTATAGTCCCTGCCTGAAGCAAACCCACATACCATTTAGGTGCCGGTGCCAGCTGTATCTTAAAGTGACTAGTGAAAAAACCAAACCCTCACACATACATGTCCCGCCCGACTCCCAGAACTGCTTGGCTGTCTGTTTTCTTACAAATAACTCCAATCTTACATGGACCGAAGGCACCCAGGTAGCCTTGGGTATCTGAGAAATAACTTCATACAGCACAAAACACAGACCAACCAGTCCTCCTGACTCTTATATGGTGTGGATACTAAGGGCTGATAGGAGCAGTCCATCTGCATAAACTAGGCCCTCCTATGGGAGGAAGCATACTGAGCTGAATATAATGAGTCTCGCACAGGAGGAAGTATGCTGAGGTATTTCTTCCTAATTAGTCTAGCTTGGAAGGAAATTATTTGAGTCCTATCCTAACATTAAGCCTGAAAGAGGTATAAATATCTTTCCATAATGGGGTTTAGTAAAACAGCCGAGGGTTCTCTGCCTGATCACTGAGAACAGATTTCCAGAGAATAGATTTCTTCATTCACGTTTCCAATTTGTCTTAGGATTGCCATGATTGGCTAAGAGGTTAACAGTTGTGATGAATGAATTTGAAAAGTTGGAAAGAAAAACTGTTAAAAGCTTTTGGAGAATTCTAATTGCAGATAACGAATGCAAGTACGCACCGCATTAAAAAAAAAAAACAACATAAGCTGTTGACAGAAATCAAATGGGCTTTGTATTTAAAATAAAATGACAATTCTCTTTTCTCAGAGTAGAGAGAAAAAGCTTTTCTTTTTTTAAAGGTACATTTTGAATATACACTGCAAAGAAATAACAGCTCCTCCTTTAGTTAATGCAAACACAAGTCTTTATAGCAAATGGCATGATGGGCTATTTACCTGGAGTTTAGATGCCTAGTTTCCTATTTTAATTCTTTTCTAGTATGACTTCACACACAATTCTCCATTCAACACACATGATTTATCTTTCCTCACCTGCACAAAAAAATATAGTCACAACATTGATTTCATTGTGAGACTGGAGGATCTTCTATAATAATCTTTGCATCAAAGCCATCGGTTTTATGTTTTTCCTTAATGAAAGGCCCGTATTGTATATATTTCAAATTAAAACAATCAAAATATTTATAGTAACTCTTAATACTTAAGTGTTAAGAGATCATTATGAGGGGCTAGGAAGATGGCTCAGTGGTAGAGCGTGTGCCTTGCATGCCTGAGGCCCTGGGTTTGATTCCTCAGCACCACATAAGCAAAAAGAAAAAAGCTGGAAGTGGCGCTGTGGCTCCAGTGGTAGAGTGCTAGCCTTGAGCTGAAGAGCTGAGGGACAGCGCCCAGGCCCAGAGTTTAGGCCCCATGACTGGACCCCCCCCAAAAAAGAAATCATTATGAATCTGAAAACAAGGTATGCGCTAGAGAAGATGAATGGATTAAGGCTATAGCTACTTGTTTTTGACTTCTAGCTCAGAAGTTAGAACTGACACTAATGTAGGGATGGTTATCTAACATCTCTGCTAACCCTACACAGGTGTTGTGAATGACAAATTGTGTGTCTGTCCATAATTGCTTCACTGGAGTATTTTACTCTATATGTGTATATCTATCTACGCAATATAGGTCACCAATACAGGCAGGTACACATATCTGCATTTTTATTACTTTAGCAATCATTATATAATACTTACAATGTGATAGACATTGTTCTATAAGTACCATAGGAATAACCTGTCTAATTTTTTTTCAGTATCAGAGATTGAACTCAGGGCCCTGAACTTGGTCCCTGGTCTTTATCTGTTCTTCAGGTTCCTTTATCTCTCCTAAAAATACTTTATCCCCCTCTATAATCCACTCCTCCCCAACAAGCCCCCAGCTCCTTTCCCCTACCGAGAGCTATTTGGTCCCACGTGGAATTGTCATATGTGGTGTGGTTCTTGTCCACTTGCATAGTAATAAATATGCATGCATCCTCTCCTGTTAATTGGTCTATTGTCATTTGAATTCAATTATTGAACTTCAGGAAGATAGAAAGTTTGTGGGGGATTTTTTGCCTCTACATAATTTAA